CGTGTAGGGTGTTTGCACCTTAACTCGTATTAAGTGTTAATATTGAACAGCATCCTACAGCACCCTTAAAAAGATCTTGCAGTACCCCAGGGTTCTGCATTACTCTGGTTAAGCCTGAATTAGATGCTTAGTTAGTTTTTTCAAAATAGCTTCTAGAAGTTAGATGCCTGACTCCCACCTGAGCCAATTTTATGCTAGTGTCTCTTAATACTATAATTTATAATAAAGGGAATTATAAATGCTGTATTGTTCAAATGACACAGGTGAGTAGCATCTCTTATTTGAATTTTGTATGATTGCTATAGGCAAGAACCATGCTATTGCAAATGAATGCCCTGATCCTGCAAGTGCTTTAACAGGTATGTGACTTTACTCGCACGAGTAGTCCTCCTGCCTTCATTGGCACTGTTCCTAGGCTTCTGGTTAAGCACCTGCAGAAAAGTTTGCCTGTATATCATGTTTATTCAGAGCTCTTCTCACAGAAGCATAAAATCTTTGCTGCTTCCACAACAAATAGTTTCAGCATCAACACTGAAAAGTAATTTAGGCTTTTGGTAGGTTAACAAAATTATCGTGATCCTCCAGGCCAGCTTTTTCAAAAAGGGTACCCTACTGCTAGGCTTTCAAATCCGAATAGGAAGGGGTTTCAAAAGCAGCTGAGTGTCTTAGATGTGTGTGTCTCATTGCCCACAAATTTAGACCCTGACAGAGCCTGGCCAAAGCATTTCTGCTTTCTCAACTTGTGGAAAGTCAACGTATTGGGAAGTGGGGTGGTAGGGCTGTGTGAAGCTTCAGGTGGTGATTCGATTCAGAGGAGATTCAGCCCGATTCGGTGGTTGAATCTCTGAATCCGAATCAAATATAGGGACCAATTTAAAGATCCAAATCAATTCAAAGCTCTCCAAATCTTTTCCAAAGATTCAGAGAGATTTGATGATTTGAGTAGTCCCTGATGGCTGCAGCAGGGAGCAGCAGCTGACTCAGAGCTGGTAAGTACTAGGGGCAGGGGGAGGGACCTTGGAGGGACCCCTGCCAGGCACCGCTG